TATACAAAGTTGTAGAGCTCAAAATGCTACATAAAAAATGTTTGGGGCACTTTACCCCTATTCCCAACCGTTCATCCCCCAGAGCTGCGTGAAAATCATATGGGGAAAAAAAATGTTTTCCATTTAAAAAATTAAAGTTAATGATTTTTTTTTTGTAATTCGGAATATCAGTGTTTCTTTTTCAATAGCTTGTNGCCAAAAACGTAATATACAAAGTTGTAGAGCTCAAAATGCTACATAAAAAATGTTTGGGGCACTTTACCCCTATTCCCAACCGTTCATCCCCCAGAGCTGCGTGAAAATCATATGGGAAAAAAAAATGTTTTCCATTTAAAAAATTAAAGTTAATGAATTTTTTTTTGTAATTCGGAATATCAGTGTTTCTTTTTCAATAGCTTGTTTATTTATTCAGAGCGAATTTAATATATGTTGCTATTTATATCTTGAAATTGAATCGTTGAATTTCTTTTTTTTTTCTTCCATACTTTTTATTAGAACATTTACCACAAATTTTCTCTTCATCGTACCCGCGAATCTCCTATGGATTCAAAGTTAAACGCAATTTTCTAGCTGCAACCCCTAAATCCGGCGCCGTGAATGAGAACCTTTTGTGCGAGAGAGAAGTCTACGTCTCACTCCCACTCCCTACAGCATTGTAACCGACCATTTGCGCATGCGCGCACGGGCCTGTGGAACATCACGAATGCGATAGAAAGAATCATTTGAGGTTTTTCGTCAGCCGGCAGGGTTGGGCATATCTCGCAGATGGAAGTTTATGACGTGACATTGTCAAATTCCGGTAATTTACCTCTGGGGCGTCAAAAATGTCCAAAAGTGTCAGAAAGCTCTTTACAAGGAAGCTAAGCTAAAAAGTCACAAGGGTCAAAAGTGAGAGGCACATCGGCCGGAAATCGTTAAGATCAAACGATCACGAGGGTTATCCTCGCGAAGGTTGAACATCGCAAGGGTTATGCCTTCTTAGGGTCAAACGTCGCAAGGGTCAAACAACGGAAGCAATCCTTCAATCTGGAGGGTGAAACTAATAAGAGGTTCAACGGGGGACGCCAGGCGGTTCAATTACAAGGTTCCAACGGTCATAAAGTTTAAACAAAAAAAGCAAGTAGGTTCACAAGGGTCAAACAGGTCACTAGGTCACCGCCTAGTTATCCTGATTGACCCTTATGATTTACCTACTTTGTGATTGTTTCTTGNTTCAACTTACCTCTCCTGTAGGCAGAACAGTGACAAGGGTGGAATGATCATGAATTAAGAAAAAATAATTTGAAACAATTCCATTTGGTCTTTGTTGTTGCTTATGATCATTTGACGCTCGCAAGTTATGATTGTGACGTTTGACCCTCCCAAGTTATGATTGTCACGTTTGACCCTTGCGAGGTATAACCTTTGCGACGATTGACCCTCGCTAGGCATAACCTCAGTGGGTATGATTTTTTCGAATTTTGACCCTTGTAACTCTGACAGGCGGTATTCTCGGTAAAAATCACCCGGTTCTCCAAGGTGCTAATAGATAGCGCCACATAGGTTTTTGACAGGTCAAAAAGCCGACAACTCGCCCGGGTAATTTACCTACTTTATGACCGGTCAAAAACCATGTAATTTACCTAAGGTAATTTACTGGCCCAACCCCGGTCAGCCGTTCGCTCTCCCTCCCTCTCACTCTCTCTGTCTCTCTGTCTCTCTCTCTCTCTCTCTCTGTCTCTCTCTCTCTCTCTCTCTCTCTCTCTCTCTCTCTCT